ATGCCTGTGAATTCTACTGCTTTAGGAACTGTGAAACCTATCTTTTTGCCATCTTTGCTGTTCCATTGAGCCGGCAAGGATGTATCTGAGATACTGATGCATTACTGCCACTATTCTGGTCAGCTAACAGAAACAATCCTGTTAAAAACAATGCAACCTTGGAAGTTCACTTAAAAAGCAGATTTGGTCCCCGAGAGATGCTGTTGGCACCGTCCTGTGGTCTACAAACACCACTGGAAGATTTGTTGCAGGTCTAAGTTTGACAGAACCAGGAAAAAATAACTCACTGGTTTGGCAATCCTTTGATTATCCGACTGACACATTGGTTCCTGGGCAGAAAATATTATAGGGGCAAAAGCTGATAGCAAATGCTTGAAGTAGAAACTGGACCGAAGCTTTATTCTCTCTGGCTGTGAGTCATCAAGGTTTAGTTGCTTCAATAGAATCCGATCCTCCACAAGTCTTATTATCAGCATGATAGAGAAAAATAACACAAGTTATGCTGTGTTTCTAAATGTAAGTTTAGCTTTGCATGTTCATTCCTCTGAATCAAACGATCCTGATTTATCGATAACTATCTCCAAAGCATCCTCAGCTCAATTCTTGAAGTTGGATTCAGATGGGCACCTCGATATATATATGAGTATAAAAAAAAGTGGGTCAGTGGCTGATATTATCTTTTGGAGACCTCAAAGAGATGGATATTACAAAGAAAGATAATTCTAAGCACTTTTTATCTTCTCATTCGAATATTATATGCAATTAATAAACTTACTGTTGACTTCGTTTGCTCCTCATTCTTCGAGAATTAGAAAGATTCTTTTCAAGTTTGAATTTGTTTATTTGAAATTTGGGATACAGATTGACAAGCACAAAAGTCATATATCATATCTATTAATTAATCTATGCTCATTGACAAGAAACAAATGCTCGATTGATGGACGAACGACGGGGATTGAACGATTTGAAGCACCCGTTTTCCATTCAATTTCACCTCAGGACATGGCCGTCTTCATGTGGCCGGCATGTCCTAATTTCTAGGCCCTAATTGTGGTTTGTTAAATTTGGGACAGAAAATATTTTTTTTAATAGAATGTACTATTGGGGGCTTGTTTGGTAACACTAAAAATTCAATTAAAATTGAAAATATAGTCGTTATAGGATCCCATCCATTTAATAAAAGTCAACAATAACGACTAATTTTTCAATTTTAATTCGATTTTAATCTCTACCAAACACACTCTAGAAGTAGGAAATATCATACATTTAGTATAAAATTATTATACTAAAAAAATTTACATAAAAAAATGACTTTGAAAAAATCTATACTCACGGGGAGAATAAGCCACCAACATTGAACCTGCAGTAATTATTTTTTCAGTCAGCAAATGGGGATAATTTCTTTTTCAATTGCTACATACTGATTTTTGTTCAAAAAGTTGAGGTGAGTACCTCAAAACCAGATGCTGGAGGTTTTTTTTTTTTTTGGTTGCTATAGTTATTAGCAAGAGTTATCCCATCTCCCAACAATATCAAAAGAGGAATGAACCTCTGTTTCTGTACTGAATTCTGGACTGGGAAGCTTAGTAACAGATTGAAGCACTCAGTCTTATTCAAACCCTGATAATATTTGGTAGAGCTCGAACTGTGCGGTACTGATTTTTCGTTTCTCAACTTTTTACGACACTGTTTGTTGCTCTGCTTGTGAAAATTTGAGTTTCTAGAATACTTCAAAATCATGTCTTTTATTTAGGGATTAGATGGTTTCATAAATGTATTATTAACTTTTATGGTTTGTGTCTGAGATTTGTGATTTTTTTTTGTTCTGTCACTGTTTTGCTTTGAAACATGTGGTCTGTAGTGGGTAAAGCTTGAGTCTCGAAGGTGGCGCAGCTGTGGCTAGAGGCTTATGGGGGTGTTTTTTGGTAGCAGTGGCAGACTGGCCACTAGTTATAGTGGTGGCAGCCTTTGGTACTTAAGTTGCTGCGACTGGGGTTGTAAGGAGGCTGCGGTGGTGGTGTCTATTGGTGGTTTTGAGCATTTGTAAAATTACCAACCTCGCCACTGAAATTGTAACTGACATGGGAATAGGGTTGCAAGGGACAAAAGGGTTTGGATCTTTCGTGGCTGGGAGACTATTATAGAAAATACTAATTTGAGGCACTGAAGTGAAGGTGGTCGGATTGACCCTCTGCATTACTATTTCCCTGCATCCATGACACTTTGAGGTCAATTTGGCCACTTCACTTCAGTACCCCAAATTAGTACTGGCTATATTAATCTCCTAGT